CCCTGGAAGTGTCCAAGGCCAGGTTGGACGGGGCTTGGAGCGACCTGGGCTAGTGGCAGGTGTCCCTGCCATGGCAGGGGGATGGAACAAGATGGGCTTTCAGTTCCCTTCCAACCCAAACCATTTTATGATTTTATGGTTCTGTGGGATTTCTTTTCCCCTCTTAAAAATCTCAGCAACAAAAGCAAGCCCGCCCCAGGTTGTGTGTATATATAATCTGAGTGTATATATACAGTCTTAATCCACAGCCTGTAGGAGAGATCATAATTCAAAAGGTGAAACTTGGAGCCCTGACCAACTGCATCTGCAAAAAACCCTTCTGCTTGAAGGGATTTTCAGTTTCTGTGATTACAGGGAACAAACTACTGTCAAATATGTAAATAATGTGGGTATTTCCCCCTCTCACACAATGTTCATCTTCTAGGTCAGTAAACTGTGATGTGAACCGTGATGTTCCGCTTCTGTGAAAGACAGCTACGCTCTTCTCCAGAATAAAAGATAATTCAGGGAGCACGAGACGTGTTTTGGCCAACACAGACCTTGCCAGCCGTTGTTTTGGGTTGCTCCTGTTTTCTTGTCGTGGAGTTTTCCAGGTCAAGCCTTGCACAAGAGGATCAAAAAAAAATCTTTCAAATGGCCTCCAAGTCCTGTGGCAACTTGAAGTCCTGTGCTGCATAAAAGCTGTTTGAAATGGGCTGAATTTCAACAGTTCAGTGAAACTTCCAACTTTTGTGATGGAAAAGCCTGTTACTAATTACAGGGAGAGAGGTGAGGTGGCTTGAAAAGAGCTGGAGTCAGGGAGAAGCCAGAAATACTCACTGCCCACGCGGACAGGATGATGTAACGGCAGACGAACTGAAGAGGAATTATAGGGAATTATTTGTTCTCAAAAAGGAATTATAGGGAATTATTTATACCCATGAATGAGTGCTGTGTTAGTCAGGAAGATACGGAGGGGAAAAAAAGACCTGAGAATTTGCTGCAGCCACTTCATTGGAAACCTGTGGTCATTGTGCACCCAGTGGCAAAGAGCAAAAAATCATGTGTTATGATTAAAGTGAGAGAAGAGCCCTGGAAATATAGAGTTCTCTATTGATGTGCCATATATCCCAGGCCACAGGGGTATGTTCTTGTTAGGGTTCCCTATTAAAGAAATAAGAAAAAAAAAACTTTATCTTGCCCATGTGGGTTTTTATGTGATAAATAGAGTTTGATAAATAGGGTGAGAAGGAGCCCAGAGAGCAGCAATGCTGGACACTGAAATACCCTGTGGGTATCCTGCCAGGTGATCTGTCCAAAATGTTGCTGCTTTTTAATCTTTGGAGCAAAGTTGAATAGGCTTAATTCAGCTGTGAAAACTGGGACACTCTCCTGATTTGATAGAGCTCTGAATTAAAGAGGGGGAAACCCTGCATTCTGCTCAAGGTGAGCACATGCATTTGAGGAGTTGAATCCCTTCTCCATCTCTTTCCATAGGAGCACAGAATGGTTTGGGTTGGAAGGGACAATAAAGCTCATTTCATTCCAACCCCTTCCCATGGACAGGGACACCTCCCACTAGCCCAGGTTGCTCCAAGCCCATTCCAACCTGGCCTTGGACATTTCCAGGGATGGGGCAGCCACAGCTTCTCTGGGCAACCTGTGCCAGGGCTTCCCCATCTTCCCCCTCCCAGGGAAGAATTCCTTCCAAATATCCCATCTAACCTCACCCTTTGTCAGTTTAAAGCCATTCCCCCTTGTCCTGTCCCTCCATCCCTTGTTCCCAAGTCCCTCTGCAGCTCTCTTGGAGACCCTTTAGGCACTGAAAGGTGCTCTGAGGTCTCCCTGGAGCCATGGGAGTCCCTACTGGGTGGGCACAGGGGTCTGTGCTATGTAATGCTGCTCTCTCCTTTATAAACATCCTGTCAGTTGATGGGGAGCTGATATAAACAGCATCTCCACATTGTGGCTGTTTTGTTTGGAGTTAGTACTAAAAAAAAATCCCAGGAAATAGCATGTATGTGGCCAGTATGTATTTATTCCTCAGGGGCTTCTCCGTCTGGAGACCCCGAGTTTCTAACAAGGAAGTAAAACTGTTTTGTTTCCACCGTGCTGTTCACTGTGTTGGGTACAGCTGACGAGGCATCATATGGGAGCTGCTGGATTTTCCCCCTGTAAATGGCTGGAGCTCCTTTTGAAGCCAAGGGTTTTGCCCAAATCCATCTAGAAACACAGCTGAACTTGGCCTAGGCAATTTTCAGAGCAATGGATTTTTCTGCAGGAGAGCTCTATTGGAGAGTTTTTCTTTAAGCAAACATCAGTTCCTTGGCTCTGCCAGGTTATTCCCACACAGTCAAATACAAACCAGTAAGAAAGTGAGAGACCCTAATTTGGTATTGAAGTTATTTTCAAGTGTGAGGAAAAAAACCCAATTTCATCTGCTAAAGCTGCTCACATGACCAGATGCAAGCTCCTGCTTACAACTGGGGGAAAAGGGGGGAAAAAAAAGCACTAGAAAATTATTTTCCTGGGGAATATGATGTTGTTTTGCTGAAGTTTGTAAGTTTCATGAGTTTGTTGTTTGGTTGGTTTTGGTTTGGTTTTGTTTGGGTTTTTTGCTGAGGAAGCCAGACTGGTTTTACAGAGCCAAAGGAGAAGCTGAGTCTTTCTTTGTCCTGTAGCTCAGCTTTGGGGAGCAAACATTGGTTGTGGAGGCTCAGGAGGTTGTTATCCTCCCTGCTGCTGCTGGAAGCATCTCTCAGTTCATGGGAAACCTCTGCGAAAATGAACCTTTCCCCACCTTTAGGCATCTCTTTGGGCAACCAGCACCTGCAGCTCTCGTGGTGCCGGGATCCTGCTGCAGCCCCTCAGGCTGGGGATGTCCCTGGATGTGAAAGATCAACCTGTGCTGGGGTAGGAAGAGGTGGGGATGGCTTTGCCTGGTGACTGTTGCTGTTTATCACCCTTTCCAACCACTCATGGCAGAAATGAGTGGAAAAACAGCCTTCAGCTCTCCATATAAAACCCAGAGCCAGCGGGCTTGCCAGCCTTACGAATGTGTCCTCTGTCAAACGTCTCATTCATTCATCCTGCAGTGGGAACACGTGAAAATCACTTCATTTCCCCAAGGTGGAACAACAGTGTGCTTGTCCCTAAAAAATTCCTGTGCTACCGAGCAGCAAGTCACCTGTCAGCTCCAAGCAAGCTGGAACAGGGATGGTCTTTATGGGTCTGAGTGTCTGTGGGAGTAAAACTTGGGAGGAGTGAGCCTGAGTGCCAGCAAAGCCTGACTGGACATGTTCTAGCTCCCTGAGGTCCATATGCTGACCCCTTCCTCCTGGGCTGGCACATCACTGCTCCTAGAGAGGAGGTACACGGACAGGATGAGTTCACAGTGGATGATGGTCTGTCCTAACTCCTTGCTCCCAAACCAGCTGTGAACAGGCCCTCTGCACTGTCACCCCAAGGGTGTTCCTTTCATCTGAACCCGCCCTGCAAAGCTCAGACACCAGAGCTTTAGAGTGCATCAAGCCTGATCAGCTTTCACAAGGGGGTGTTTTATCCTCCTGTGAGCAAGTCCAGGTGCAGCATGTCTCATCCAACCCCCTCCAAATAAACGTGACCTTCGCCATCCTGTCCCTCTGACAAACTGCTGCTGCCCAGCCAGGCAGCTACGTGCCAGGACGAGGTCCTGTATCCAAGATAACTGATGCTCCAGCTCAAAGCCCAGCTTTACCTCCATGGGCTGCACCAGTGTGCATCAGCACTTGTGGGGCTGCAGCCTGCCCACCAGCCAGCTCCTCTTCCTCTTCAGGGCTGGGTCCCAAACCTTGGATTGTCTTGCTTTACTCTGTGTGTGGTTTTCCCTGTTTTATCTAACACTTAGGGGTCTCTGGTCCTCCAAGCAGAGAGGAGAGGGATGCCAAGCAGCCCTTAAGCACCATCCACCACCACCAGCATTTCTTTCACTGGTTTCCTCTCCCAGGTCACAGTTAATCTGGGTTAGGCTTCCTCCCTGCCTTCAGAGCAATCTAATTCTTTGGGAGATTTGTTTTTTGTCCTCTGGCACAGCAGCTTTGATTCCTCAATGCATCAGACTTACTGTTCTTGAAGTAGAAGGACCTAAGTCCAGCCCAGCCACGGGTGACACATGTTTTTGTTTTGTGGGTTCTCATGCCAGCAGCATCTCACACGGAGGATGTGTCTTCTCTTGACACCCGCTGTCAGCACAGGAACAGCTTTGGCAGGGAGGTGGTGACAGGCACCACGGGGAGATGGACCTTCCCAGCTTTTGTTTCATTTCCAAGGAAAATGTAGAGGTATGAGCAATGAGGAGAGGTGTTTGGTGAGTTACTGCTTTGGTCAGGAAAGTGAAATGCTGGGAGGTTGCCAGCTTGTCCTTATTTTAGAATCATAGAATGGCCTGGGTTGGAAGGAAGCCCATCCAGTTCCGCACCCTGCCATGGCAGGGACACCTTCCACTAGACCAGGTTGCTCCAAGCCTCCTCCAACCTGGCCTTGAACACTTCCAGGGATGTGGAAGTCCCTGGCTTTGAGGAAGCCTCATGGCAAGGCCACCTTTGCTACATATTTAAGACGCTTATTTTGGGTGCCTATCCGAAACCATCCTTGCTGTGCTGGTTTCAAGGTAAGTTTACCACCAGCCAGAAAATTATTTTGCTATATATTGGGTGAATGTGGTCCTTTTTTGACTCTTAGGGAAGGTTTATCCGCCTTAATGCACCATGGAAAAGGCATTTTCCATGTTCAAAGACACAGCCCAGGCTGCAGCATCGAGGGCCTAGGCAGTCCATTAGCTTTTCCAAATTTCCCTTTCCCCCCCAGTTTTGGTCCACACCCTAGAAGGTGAGCTCTGACAGGGAATTCACATGATGCCCAGACCAAGGAGGAGGCCTTGCTCTGTGGCAGCTCATAGTCCAGTCTTTGGGCCGTGGTGAACCCAGGTGCCACAACAGCCTTGCAAAGCTCCCAAGCCTGGCACTTAACTGGCATGAAAATACCAGCTGGTGCCCCCAGCTCAAGGGGTAGAGCAACCCGCTGCGGAGTGACACCGAAGGATTTGTGTGGCTGCAAAGGATGAATTCAGTCACGTGACCTGCCCCTCTGCACTGCAGGGGGAGGCTTTGGTGGAGCAGGAACGTGCAGTGATGCACAGAGTACAACATGTACGTGGCTCTTGCTGACAGCAGCGTGTTCTCACTGATCTCTGCACTGATCTGCATCCCTGAGCGGGGCTGCCACTGACATCCTCCTCTCTGGGCCACAGAGGAGCACAGGCCTCCTCAGAAAACATCTGCTCATCGAGTTTTGCCAGCTCTGTGCTCTGCAAGCCCCTGGATCAAATTAGATGCTCGTGGGCTGAAGGAAAAGCCGTTGCACGGGAACTAACTCCCTGCTGAGACCTGCATCTCAGGGCAGGCAGCAGGGATGTCTGCAGGGCTGGTCTGGCTCATGCCTGAGCAGTGGGAGGACTGTTTATGGTGAGATGATGGAGTAACAAGATACCTGGCAGGGCAATCATCCTGGCAGCTAGATAAATCCTCATGAGAGGCAACAAGCTCAGGGGCATTCAGGGATGATCTTTTTGTCCAGCATCTCCCAAGGGTCTCCAACTCTTGTGACGTTTGGGATGTAGCCTCTGGAGAAGAATTCACAGCGATCAACTGCTCCTCTGTTTCAATTACACTTTCATCTCTTTCAGACACAATGAAATAATTCCAGAAATCACGCCCTACCTCCGCAGGGGGTGAGGCACTGAGCTCGGGGTGCTGGAGCGGGGGCTGGATTCCATGTGCTGTCCCTGAAGCCTGAGGTGCTCCCGCAAATCCACGCCAAGGGCTCTGCAGGCAGGATGGACAGAGTGGGTCCCTGTGGGACTGAGCAGAGTCTGCCCAGGTATCCAGGAGTTTCCTCCTTTGCGAAGGGCTGGATTTGGTGTATTCTGACTCTTCCCTGTGAGGGTGGTGAGGTCCTGGCACAGGTTGCCCAGAGAAGCTGTGGCTGCCCCATCCCTGGAAGTGTCCAAGGCCAGGCTGGACGGGGCTTGGAGCAACCTGGGCTAGTGGAAGGTGTCCCTGCCCATGGCAGGGGATGGAATGAGATGATCCTTATAGTCCCCTCCAACCCAAACCACTCCAGTATTCCATGAGGATTCTTGTGAGCTCTCCCTGCCTTTTGTTTTGCATTGTTTCCTCTCAAATTTAAATTCTCAAATTTAGGTGGTTTGTTAAAGGAATCATTTTAAAATTATTCCAGGAAAAAAAAGGGGAGTGTAAAACATACAAGAATCATTCCTATGTCCATCAAATCATTAGAATTGGAAGCCTATGACCTCACCTCTGTCCTTGTTATTGTTTCCTGGAAAACCCTAAGATCCCACAGTTTCAAAGAGAGATCCACTGGAATGACCAGGTTTGCTCTGACAGAGAGCCAGAGGGTTTTAGATCATTGTTCCTCTGCATCCTTACTCTTTAACCAGGTTTCCCCAGAACTATGTTGTGGGAGAAGGTTGGAATTACTAGAAATGGATCAAGTTCACATGTTGTCCCACTGCTTTCCCACTATTTTCAAATTCTTGGAATCACCCACCAATGTGCCCTAGGAACGCACTGTGAAATAGATCAATCAGAGGGACATCCAGCAGCAGCCAAAACAATCCTATGGCTCTTTTTACCTGCTCTCCAGGTGCTGCTGCCAGAGCTCCCAGCAGCCGTTCCCGTTCCCAAAGAGGCCGGGTGGTGCCGTGGAAGACACTCATGACATGCAGGAGGGTGAGGAGGCACTTCTGGACGTGCTCTTTGCTGTGAATTCGGATGCCAGAGTCCTGATTGTCTTCATGGTCCCTTCCAACCCAAACAAGCCTGTGATTCCATGAGGTGATCAGCACCTCTTCCAATTCCTAGCTTAATACATGTGGCCCTTTCAGATATGCTGGAATTTGGCTCCTTCTTCCAGAGCTGCACAGAGCAGCTTAACACCAGTCATTCCATCCTGCTTCCATAGCTTAATATTTATTTTTGCCTCAGCCAGATACAGATAAACTTTAGCAAAAAAAAAAAAAAAAAAGCCAAGTATTTCTGCAGCCCAAGCTTTGCAGGAACAGAGATTCTGGTATCAACACCACGACAGTAAAGATAAGATCCAGCAGAATAAATTTTAAAAGCAAAGGAAATTATATCAACAACTGGAGCTCCTTAGAACACAAGGATTCACTAAATCCCTGCCCAAAAATGCTCTAATTCTCCTGAAAGAATTCTCAGGTTCAAAATGCTAAATTTTTTTACTCATCTTTCTTAGATTAAGAAATGTCATTGCAGATCATCCAGCTTATCTGTCACTGAATCAGAGCCAGCAGCAGAGGAGCAGAGCAATCACAGCATATCCTGACAGCTTTTGTTTAAAAAAGTTCACGTGAGGATGTAGTTTAATCCAAACCACTCCGAAGTCCAAACCAAACCCACCATTTTGTACTTCCTTACATTTTATACCTGTCCCATGTTTATAAGCAGTATTAGCCTCCAAAACACACCTAACAGAATTCTGTGCAGTTTTAATTCAAAACTAACACCCAATTCCTCGAAAAGGCTGCCCTCGGTGTTTCATGAAATAACAGCTCCCCCTACCTGGCTTTTTAGGCATCACCGTGCGAGTTGCAAAGTCTACTGGCCAGTCCTGCTCTAGCCCACCGGGAAGGGCATTTGTGCATTTGTAAGAACCATTTCCTTATATGATTGCTAGAAATGCAAAATAAAGAGGCACATTAAGGCCAGTAGAAAAGTATCTCGGCTTACTGGGCGTATGCCATAACTCCAAGACAGATTTCTTATTAAAATGCTTATATTTAGACATGCAGTTCAACAAGTAACATCAGGAAAGCAACAGCACACAGAATTAGCTTCACCTTTCACTCTTCCCTCACCATGGAATTGCTTTAACATATAGAAGGGGAGAATAAACAATAAGTAGTGGCATATAATTTACAAAAATACGACCATTATCCAAAGACATGATTTCTATTCACTGCCCCATCACTTGTCTTTATAACAGTCTCAGGATCTGTATACACGTTTTTATTAATCATCACTTAGAGCTCTCTGATCTCACTCACCTGTACCAAAGCTACCCAGGGAAGAGATGCCATGTACCTTTCACAGCGTCTTCCACAGGAAGCCCAAGGAAAGCTGCAAAATCATCTGCAACTATCAATGTCTGAGCCTGAGAAACCAGGGCAAGGGCTCATCTCCTGGTGCCATCTGAGGACACAGAAACACTGTGAGCAGACAGAGACTCAACTCCACAGGTAGGAAATCTGAGGATATTTTCCCAGTTCTGACGCCTTTGGAAAACCACTACCAGCCCCAAAGTGAGCACTTCCAAAGTTCCCCCCCTTCCCACAAGCCACTGACCCATTTCACTCAGCAGCCAGAGACAACAACTTGCTCTGCCAGGACAAAACCCCTCAGAGACCCCATTCACTTCCAAATGCAGATCTTATGTACCCCCACCAGTACATAAACCACTTCAGGAAACCCTGCGTCTGACGGCATTCTCCACTTGCAATAGGCTTGTGTGTCAAACAGTTCAGAAGCAGGAAAAAAACTGAGGAAAACAATGAGTTAAACTACTAATGGCATCTAAAATCAGTTGTTTCTAAAGCTACAGAGAATTTGTTATGGCAAATAAGAAGGCTTCTTAGCAGTCTGTGCTGCCCTCTGGTAGCAAGAATTTGCATGTTACCATTTCACAGTCTCTAAAACATTTGTCTCAAGTCACAGGTAACAGATAAACCTTATGAGTGTCCCAAGGTTCTGAAATGCCAAGCCAAGTTCCCTAAATTACTGCTCAGAAGTCTGAAAAAACTGGGTAACTAATGGTCTGTTTTGCTGTTACAGAACAAACCATGTGGTTTATGAAATTCCAGTATGTAGAATATACAATCACAGACACAACCCTACTACAAACAACTTAGTTCGTTTTTACAAGGTTTTGTCATGAGGTTTTTATTTACACCCGATACCTAAAATCCTTTCAGGAAAACCTACACAAATTTGGCAGCAGTTGTCATTTCTCATAATTAGTGTTTGAGCACAGAGGAATCATTTCAGGCAATTCCCTGCTGCCCACACAAGGTCACTTTGGACCTCTGAGTGCTTCCAAGTCTGTCCCACTGACCAAACTGCACCACGTTCAGCATTTGCCTGTTGTGACCAAAAACCCTCCCAAGTGTTCATCCAGAAGAATGTCTTCTCTGCAGTGGTCACAGCTGTAAATCCAGTACTTACAGATCTGATGGCAGGAGGGATTCTTTTCCAGAGATACCGCGTGTTATTCCTAAAAAAAATGAAGCTCAAAATACTTGTCAGTCACCAAATGCTTGCTGCAAGGAGACACCAAAAGGTGTGTTCACATCTGTCCTGAACAGTCTCAGTGCTTTGAAACAGTCCTTCTAGGCAGGAATATTTTACACTGCAGTGCAAAAGCAAAGCTACTCTTGAAGAAGTTGTTAATACTGTTAAATAGTTTTGCTTGGTTTACCTGAGAGGCCTGCCTGGGATTGATGCTCTAAAATTTTTGCTTGTCTGAAAAAAACTTGCCTAAGAATAATGTTGTTAATACTTCTGCTTGCTTGAGAAACTTGCCTGAGAATCCTATAACCTTTAAGATAAGACACACAGTTTGCAGATGGAAAGGATGTATGTTTTTGTATTGCTTAAAAGGAGAAATTAAACAGAAATTAGCCATCCAAGAACAAAGAAGAACCAGTTTCAAGACTTGGAAACGGGACAACTGAAAGGGGGCTGTTAAACATTGTTTGTTAAATCATGTACAGTATGAATAAGTTTTTTTAAATGTTTCTACTAACACTTAAGTAGAAATAGTTAATAAAGAATTAATGTAGAATTTTTTCAGGCTAAAGTTATGTATGTGACAAACAATGAGTATAACCTTACATTTGCTGTGTCCAGCTCTGGGCCCTCAGATCAGGAAGGACATGGAGGGATTGGAGCAGGTCCAGAGAAGAGCAGCGAGGCTGGTGAAGGGATTGCAGCACAAGTGGTGTGAGGAGAGGCTGAGGGAGCTGGAAGGGCTCAGCCTGGAGAAGAGGAGGCTCAGGGGAGACCTCCTCACTCTCTGCGACTCCCTTAAAGGAGGTTGTAGCCGGGTGGGGGTCGGGCTCTTCTCCCAGGAACCAGCAGTAGGACAAGAGGGCTGGGTCTTAAGCTGTGCTAGGGGAGGTTTAGGTTGGATGTTAGGAAGAAATTTTCTCCTGAGAGAGTAATCAGCCATTGGAATGGGCTGCCCAGGGAGGGGTGGAGTCACCGTCCCTGGAGGTTTTAAGGTGAGACTGGATGTGGCATCAGTGCCATGGGCTGGGAACCACGGCGGGGTTGGATCAAGGATTGGACTTGATGATCTCAGAGGTCTTTTCCAACCCAGTTGATTCTATGGTTCTATGATTTTTGCTCAAATTGCTGAGAATTTTATAACTTCTAGATGAAGAGGACTGAACATAAATTTTGCGAACAGATAGAAAATATCTTCAAACTGACAAGCAACCAATCAGCATTAAAGGCTGCAAAGCAAAAAGATACAGCACAATAAAGGATTCATTTATGGACTAAAACCCAAAAGCTAAAGTGTTTCAGCGACTGCAATTGTCAAAAAAGGATGCTGGATGGCAGCAAAGACTATGAAATAGTTACAGCAGACTTGTAGAGCGTGGGTGTCAATAGGGGCTGTCAGAGGAGCACAGACCCTGAGCAGGGAGCTGCAATCCTGCCCCAAGTGTGCATGGCTCTGCTCCCTGCACCAACAGAGCAGAGAGAGATTTCAGGGGCACGGGGGGTTTTGGTGGCCAGCACCTTCTGGCTGATCCCGTTGGGCCCTGCTCCCTCCTGGCAACAGCAAGAGCTGGGTGGGGATGGCCCTGGCAGGAGGGGCTCCTCCGGTCCCCACCGATCTGGGCTCTGACCTTGTCTCTGTTCCTCTCTGTTCCAGCCCTTCAAGCCATGACACGGGACAAGAACCATGACCTCACACATGAAAACACTGACATTCTTAGAGCTCCCTACCCCAAGTTCCAGCAGCCCCGAGACCAGCTCTGCAGGGCATGGAGTACCCGGCCCTCTCTCTGAGGCTGTGTGTGCCTGTGCTGCTGTAGCTGTGTGGAGAGTTGATGCAGGCAGCTCTGTCTGTTGGGGCCACCAGAGCCTATGGGGAAGACGTCTCTTCTCTGTAAGCCCTTCCTATTACCCCAGTGACGGAATATTAAACAAATATTGTCATACACAGTTTTTTTTGGTGCCCGGTGTCCACAGGGCATCTGGGAAGAGGGGAAAAGGGCCCTTGTGCTCCACAACACTTGCCCAAAGGTGCAGTGGGGAAGGGCAAGTGCCCAAAAGGCCCTTGGCCTTGGGGGGTTCTGCTGGAGCCTCAACACTTGCAGCAGAGCAGATGGGCAGAGCCTGGAGCTGTGGGGCTCCCTGAGAAGCTGGCCCTGGGAGGTGGCCACAAGCCCTGTGCCAGCTGGGAAGCAGCATCTGTGGCCTGCCCGTGTGTTGCTGTCTGGCTTGCTGAGGGCTGGCAGGTGCCTCCTGAGCCAGCTCCCGTGGAGCTCCTTCAGGGCTGCGCCGCTGCCGGGCCGGTTGTGGGGGCTGGGGGAGAGCCTGAGGGGACGGGGCGCTGGGAGGCCCTGAAGGGCTGAGGTGCTGCGGAGGCCCTGCCGGGACAAGGGAGTGGGAAGCAGCGAGGGGAATGCGTGAGGGAGTGGGCGGCGGGAGGCTGCGAGGGGACAGGCTGGGCAGAGG